AATCAGCTGTTTTCATTTTAGCTGTTTATAAGCGTAAATGAAACTAAATAAAAAATAATGATATACAATCAAGCGATACAGTTTCATTTCTATCATTGGGTACCTAGTAGGGCAGGGCAACGATCACGTAGGTAAGATCTTATATGATCGTTGGTTAGTTGATCGGATAAACAATAAGGCGGGTTACACACCGGTGTCGCGGATATTATGTCGCCGATATTTCTGATGTGCGGACATGATGTCTGCGACATGTAATAAAATGCAACCATGGGAGAAGGGACACGTGCTGGCGACATGAGAGGGAATCAGTTCAGTTTTTCATCAGTTTCAATAATGTCATCCTCTGAAGAAGATGGTGTGTTGTTGCTGCTGATGCTACGGAGACGAAGACGACTACGAAAAGTAAATGTGAGAAGAGAGTTCTGGACCGATCCTTATTGGAAGGATAATCAGTTGTCCAGTCAATTCACATTGACTCTAGTATAATATAACCACCACTCGAGTAAACCCACCACTCAACTCACAAAACAAAACAGAAGTACCAAGACTATGTGACAGTGCCGAAACTACTAGAAACGTGTTATGCGAATGCGCGGGCCCAAGAGACACGAGACATGTCTGTCCAAACACCGACCGGTTGGTTCGCTCAAGACACGCGTCTGCGACACGAGTCGCAGACAACGTGTCCGCGACACTGGTGTGTAAAGCTAGGCGCCCACCGGGCAACCCAGCGGGTGACGCGACGCGACGCGGCACGGCGCGACGCGGAGAAAAACTTCCGTCCGCTTCTCCAGGGTTCGCGCCCACCAAGCAACTCTAGCGGAAGCGCGGGGCAGCGCGGAGAGTTATTCTTTTGGAGGGGATGCACAGTGCACTTCGATTCGGACCCGAACACTCCCGAAGGGCTCACGATACTTTCCGAAAACACCCGAATGAGCGGCAGACGAGGGGCAGACGCCGTTTCCGTGCCTCTACCACGCGCCCACCAGGCAACTCAACGGAGGCGCGGCAACACGAGAGGAAGAAATTGTCCACCGAATTCTCACTGCCGGATTCGAGAAGAAGTTTTTTTTCCGCGCCGCGTTGCGCCACCCGCTGGGTTGCTAGGTGGGCGTCAGTCCATAAGATAACATGGCACGGATACGTGGCAACTTTTTTCCACGGCGTCGCGCCGCGCCGCGTCACCCGCTGAGTTGCCCGGTGGGCGCCTAGCTTAAAGCTTCATAGATAACATAGGTTGGTTTTCGAGGGGCATGTCGCGGACACGAAAAATATCGGCGACATCATATCCGCGACACTGGTGTGTAACCCGCCTAAGAATGGGGACATTCTTAGTAATGTAACCTTGCATTTTTTAGTAATAAAGTTTTTGATTTTTTTATTCTTGATTCTCATCGAGTCATCCCATTGCAAAATCTGAAGCTTATTTTTAAAATTCTGGTTCATGTTGGTGAAACTGAGCGCTAGTGTCTACGATATTTTGTTTATCTTATTTTACGGTAATTTGACGGGTTTTGCTTTACTTCTTAGCTATAAAAGCAGAGGACGGCCTAATGTTTATAATTAGAGCATTTAATTTGGTTAAACCAGTTTTAAAATAACAAGAAACGCATAGTAAACAAAAACACACACCAGACGAAACTAAGCTGGATCCTTAAGAATGATAAATCTACCAAAGATGAAGAAATATAATTATATTACTTCATCCATGGTATAGATTTACTTATTTAAGTCTATACAATAGATGAAGTAATGAGTAATTATTATATTACTTCATCTATGTATATACTAAAGGATTATGTTTAATGTATTTGATTTAATCTACGGTTTTAGCACGTATTGAAGTTCGCGAATAGCTTATACACTTACTATGTAAGCATATACTAAAAACACAAGTAAACTTTTCATCCCATTGTAAATTTTGAAGCTCGTTCTTCGTGTCTAGTTCACGTCCGGTGACACTGATCGCTAGTGTCGACAAAACTTTGTTCCTATATATTATTTTAGGATTAATTTAATGATTTTGGTCGTGGTTTTGCGTTCAGATAAACTTAAGACCAATTATAAGATAAGTCACTTATTAGAAGAGACACGTGTGTACATTCCTCTAAAACCGCAATAAAAAAAATAATAATACAGTAAATACTGTTACTCTAAATCTAAATTCTTGTACTCCTGTCACAATAAACAACACACAACTTCCTGAAGTAACTTTTGTTAAATACTTGGATCAATTTAGACACGAAATTAACATGGAAAACTTACATTATTTGGAGAAAACGGCAACAACTAAATTAAAATCTAATCAGTTAAATTGGCTCATATCGGAAGAAAATTTAAACTTAATCTAGAAAATAAATTATTGCTGTATAAAACGATATTGAAACCAATATGGACATACGGATACGGAATGCAACTTTAGGGCTCGGCGAGTACTTCAAATATCGAAATCATCCAAACATACCAATCGACAATGCTGAGGAAGATAACTAAAGCACCATGGTACGTTACCAATAGAACGCTACATCAAGGCCTTAAGATGCATCAGGAGGACGAAATCATAACCTTAAGTGAAAGATATATTACTAAATTAGAATCTCATCAAAATCATTTAGAATTGAACTTACTCAACAATACGGATACAATTTACAGACATAAGAGGCCCTCAATTCTGGACCTGCCCTTCAGATTTTTGTGATGTGATTTTTTTAAAAACATTTGTTGTTGACAGTGCTTAGCAGCTATTTTATTGCTCAAAAGTTACTTACAAAAGTTACTGGCATTACATGGCATTTACTTATTGTTCAACATAAAATATAGAACAGATTGTAAACAAAAAATGAGGTGTTAAAAATGACTGAAATAACAAGAAACAAATTGTAAACAAATCACGACCTCTACAGTGCACCGGACAGAACTAACAACAAAATAATTGTATTCAGCTGACCTGCTGACCCAAGGAATCGCCTATGCTATCGCGATGGATACAGTATTCGTGACGTGGTAATCTGACACGTTGTTACAACCAATTCAAGAGATAAAATTTCTCTCAAGTAGGCCTATCGGAACAAAAATTCGATAACATATTTCACGGTACTCTATGATGTAGATGTTCCACCATAGATAAAAGGAGTGTCTTCCACCCAAAGATAACAACACAAGTAATCTTTACAATTACTGAGGCTATTCATTATTTGTTCAAATTACGCTGTTGTTATCAATCTGTTTGAAGACTTTAAATCGTGTCCCTTATCTTATCTCTGAGCTTCAACCAAAGTATGCCTCAATTTTACAATTACTGTCTCGTTAAAGTGAATCCATTAATTTAATTTTACCTACGACCGTTTTTTAAAGTAGCCATTTCAGTTTAGTTCTTAGATATGAAAAGTTTCAGCTGTTTACTTTCATAACAGCATAGTTTCATTTCATAACAGCATAGTTTCATTTCATAACAGCATAGTTTTTCTCATAACAACACGGGTAACGGACCAATGAGATTCAAGGATTGAGAGAATATAAGTAAGATTGTAATGCTTCGAACGTCAACTAATAAGCTGATCAGTTGAGAATTTTAATTGTTGATCCGACTTGTTCCTGTTGATACTCGCGTATTTATAACCTAAGTTTGTGGAAGTTTAAGGAAGGTAGATTAAAATGATTTAAAAATGTCAGTTAGTGAAAGTGAAGTTGACGAGATAGAAATGAGAGCACATACTGTTTGCGATAATTTTTTGCCACCAAAATCGAAACAAAGGTATGAAATTACATACTTTACTAGCAATTCATTAAATGTACGAAACAAAATAAGGTTAAACTGATAAATGAAAATGTGTTTCTTGTTTATTTTGAAAACCTCATAACCACTTTTTCATCCAACTCGTTGCGGACCACATATTCGATGCTTTATTATTCCCAACTATATTATTCAGTTGTTAAAAAAAAAAAAATGCAACATTTCCCTAATTGTACCTTGTACCTGATACAGTATTTATGGTAAGAATGCTGCTAGCAGAACCTATTCCCTGAAAAAGTAACGTATTATTTAACGAACTTTTACAAACACGTAATTACATGAAATCAGCTGATTATACAATAAGTCGTTGCATCACTTTCAGTGGCAATGACAATAAACGAAAACATAACCTCTCCAAGTAGTTATGAGTAGTGATTGTTAGTAATTAAAAACCAGATTGTTAGTAATTAAAAAACGGTCGTAGGTAAAGTAGTGTACGCAACTCGCGTTAATAGTCTTTACGACACTCGTAGAAGTTTTTAAGGCAGTTTTTAAATTTTCTACTCGTGTCGTAAAGACTAACTTAACGCAATCGTTGCGTAAACTAAACTACTATAAACATCTAATTATTAATTTATTTGTCTATTTATTTACTGCGAGAAAATATTTTAAGCGTTACTGTAATTTTCAAGCTAAGAATGTTTTACCATTTTGTTGAAGTTTCTTCTCATTACAGGTTTATTTTATATCCGACATTATGGTTGTTTAATCACAGTCAAAAAGTGATCATGCATCGAATGTATAGGTGGAAAAGAATACATTATCCCGAAATGTAATAACAATACTATAGCTTACTCATATATATTACTTAAAACGAAAAACAATTGTATTAATTACAAAATATAATTAGAAACTTAAACCTAAAGAAATAGTGTAAAACAAAGATTTTTGCTAAGTACCATTGGTTTATTTGTATAATGCCAACTTTTGCATCAAATAATTAACACAGTACTAATACTGCATACTGTACTTAGAACAATATGAGACTCAGTGGCTTTGTATAGAGTACCGCCACCGTTATGAAAATGTTTATTTATTTTTGGAAGAGCAACGATTTCAGAATATTGAAATACGAATCCCTGTTCCTTGGCGCCTGCCTCCCTGCCACTATGACGCAGACATGTGCGCAGCGGGCGCATGCGCGAAAAATTGTTACGGCAAGCGAGCAACAGCAAGCCGACTGGTTGACTCGATGTTTCAGTTTCGATCAGTCACGATCAGCTGTTTTGCACTTTCGCAGACAGCGCCTGCCGCTAGATAGCGTTCGCGTTTCGCCTCACATTCAACGAGTGGCTCAGGCTCAACTCTCTTCTCTTTGTCAGTTTGTTTTGTTTAGTCTACACTCTACAGGCAGGCAGACAGCTTTTGTTGTGTGGTTCACGGTTTTCATTATTTCCTCGTGAGTGTCAAATTCAGTAGTTATCATGGGGACAGCCAAAGGGAAATTATTGCAATAACAGGAGTAGGTGTGATTTGTGTTAGTCAACCAAGTGATCTTTATAGTTTGTGGCAAGGATCCAGCGATAGTTCTCAATTTAGTGAGATTATACTGAGCTGTTGATAGGTAAGTGTGTTTAGGTACATTATAATTTTAAACATAAATGCTCGTAAGTTTTACTTGATTATTTTTCTCCTGACATATAACCAACAGTAGCGTATAATCAATTATTGTTGTTATATCTGATTTTTAGGTTAAGATCAAGCTGACATTGCATGTCTATTGTGCCTACTTTGGAACAGGTTTTGCATTTTTATCACGGTATATAGACACTGGGTTACTGGACATTTCAACTGAACTGTAATTAAACAGTTCAAGATGAACTTACTTAGCAATGGTTTATAATATAGTTCTGTAGTCTTCTATATGTTTTTTACGATTTAAAATAGACTAATCGTCGACATTTCAGAAAACATTTAGTTTTTTTTTGAAGGAACTGAAAGAGTTTATTTGAAAGCAAAAACATATCTTACCTAATCACAAGTTCACCAAAATCGAGTGAAGATATCTTTGACGTTGTACAATTAAGTTAAAGATAGTCTATGTGTAAGTTTTTAACTTACCTATCATAAAATGAGACTAAAGTGATGATTATTTTCACATATAGCAAGTCTTATCTAGGTACTAATTTATCGTGCTACATAAAATCAAGGCATAAAAAGATAATGACACTAATGACAGGAATCTTTTCTACAATTGTCGTCTAGTTATAATCCATATCATGGCAATTAAAATAGGCTATTGTTCATATTTTCGTTTAACGGGTGAACACGATTAGGGTCACACAGATTGTACAAAATTAAGAAATAGGCACAATAATGATTCCCAAGAAACGTTATCACATCCCCGCACCTATGCTCTACTAACTGTACACAATGTCAACAAGAACAAGTCGTAAATCGGAAGACCAAATATTATTCCAGTTTTTGTTTTATAAACAAAATGTTATACACGCATAATTTATCTAACTTCACAGTCCATTGTATGAAATATTCCCGATTCCCGATTACCTATTTGCGATCAAGAACATATGGTACCGGAATTAATAGGCTACATTTATTAAAATAATTATGTCTTGTTAAGTTACGATGAGTATAATTTCGTGATATTATTGTTTAAATAGTCTCACGCTTTTCAGTCGGTTAGTAACATAGAACTAGTAGCTTAGTATCTGTAGCCAAAGTTATCATAAAATCTAATGTAACGGAGAACATTGAACGATGCCAAATTACTGCAGATTCAATTGACTTCCCTGGATACTACAACCAGAACACCGCTTATCAATTTATTCACATGTGTTACAAACACGTGATAAGTTATCTGAGATCGCAAGGTCAATGACATGTTCCGTATTCATTTCGCTTTTGCACGTTCAGCAAAGCGTCGCGTCGCGCCGCAGCTGCGGGTGTTGGGTGGGTTGGGGATTTTCCACAGTATAGTTGGTTGCCATGACAACCAGGCGTTGCCGGTTTTTGCGAACCTTAGGCCCCGTTTATGCACCAAGTGCGGGAGCGGTGCGATAGCGGGCCCGCTCCCGCTGTAAATGAGTCTGTTTATGCACGAAGAGCGATAGCGGTAGCGGTTGGTTAAAGGAGAATGGAAGGGGGACACAGTCTTGCCAACTCAAACTCTGCCAAATAATTAACACAACTATTTGTCCTAAGTGCACGTGCGCGTGGGTCAAGTTGGCAACCCTGGCTTCAGCCCAAGCAACCGCTGCGATTCCTAACTACACAGCGGGCGAATTAGAAATCGCAGCGGGAGGTCAACCGCTACCGCTATCGCTCTTCGTGCATAAACAGACTCATTTACAGCGGGAGCGGGCCCGCTATCGCACCGCTCCCGCACTTGGTGCATAAACGGGGCCTTAGACAGCTGGTTAGTGGCTGCAACAGCTGTTTTGTTCTAAGACAAAACATCTGACACGATTGTCTGGGGAAGCCGGGAAGGCATGTTGTGAGGTTGTGAAGCGGTGTTGGTTGGTGTTGCCGAAAACTATTTTTAAATTCTTGTTTTTACCCGGTGAATAATAGGCTACATACAGAAATCTGTCTTTATTCCGTAGCAAAACCTACCTTAAACGGAATCTTTTGACGATATTGTCATAATTGTTTCTTGCCGATAGGTAACTATTAACTAATGTATGTATAGCCTATCTTCCTAAGTTACTGTAAATTCATTGAACGCACAGTAAAATTGAACCCCCCCCCCCCCGATCAATGTATAATTTGTACCTAGTGTTTTTTTTTAACGTTTCTGACAAATTAACACATTTTGACGCTCAGATAAGATTTTATAATGGGACAATGGTGTTGTAAAGGTGCCATCAAGTCTATAGCCTACCATCAATGAATGTCTTGTTAGCCGAGTGGTTACAGTGCTGCCTTAAAATCCTGAAGGTCGCTGGTTAGGTTCCAGCATTCCAGCCATGGTGCAATTTGTCATTGGGTTATCAATATTGATTAGGCCTAATGATGTTATCTAACAAAAAAAGGTCGTCGTTAGCATAAAGTAACAAGACCAGGGTTTGGATTAGGCCTACTCCCTTTCAAAACGTTAAAAATTCTACGAAGTTGATGATAAACCAGTAAGTTTTTGTTCAAATGTTTATTGTGGAAATTTTCCATCACAATGGTAAAAAACAATACACAATGTTTCGGGATCTGGAATCTGTAACTTATATAACTTATGTATCATAGTTATAACATAGGTCAAAACTATGGTTCACTTGAGGAGTTTTAGCCAGAATCTCAGCAGTGTTCTAGTCCACAATGTACTAACACTAAGCTTATTTGTGGTACATGGTGCATATCTTTAACGGAGTGGTTTAACTTTGGAATCAATCTAGTCTGGAGTAGTTACAACTAGATTTGCCTCCGACGGGTTGACCTAGTAAAGAAAAGGTCGAGTTATAAATATTTGATGGATGTAAACCCGTAGTTTGTCGGCCAGGACGGATGCAAGACCGGCGAAGAGGTTTGAACCGGATAAAACCGGATACAAGTGGATGTAAGACGTCGAGGCTGGGTAATTCAAAATAAGTCGGGAGTCGGGAGAAGCTGCCAAGAACGGTTTGTTTGTTGTTCTCCTTGGGGCATCAGACATGCAAAAATATCGCACGACACCGCGACCTATGTAGCATGTAGCCCGCTATTGTGTTGGGTTTTCACGTTCGAGTGTTTTTGATACATAGAGACGGACTCAAAGCAAGATCCTAATGTAATTTTTTCTACTCAGTAATTAAGTCTATACGATTATTTTCAAACGAAACCTGTGCGTTTCACTTATTGCGATAATTAAAGAAGGGGTGATTTTATTCACAATGTCGTGGCAGAATGAAAGAGAATATAAAAATTTGCCGTTAAAATAGTTGAATGTGGTTTTTATGGACGTGAGGGATATTTTGTCTTGTAGATTGGGAACACTGGATCTGTTTAGATTACCTTTACACAGCTGTTAGATTAGCCTTACACCTTAAGTACAGCTGCTTTTGGAGATAGCCAATCAATTAACTGAGCAGATGTCAAAAATAGGGCCAGCTGATCCAACATGGTTGATGTTTTGAGAAATAGCTATTGGCAATAGTAAAACTTACTCAGGACTACTTTTTTAAACTACTTGCTCATTAACTTCTTTTTGTTGGAACTAACTAGGTAGTTATAGTCAATAAGTCTTTTATTGGGCCAAACCTCAAACTGACAATAATTTGCATTAGCCAAGTCAATAAAAGAAAAAAGAAAACCAAATTTCTTTACTAACCAACACTGGAAAGTTAACATATTGGTATAAAACTGCTACTAACTTGATGTCCTTGAGTATTGTCGTCAGCCAATTTATTGTTACCATTAGACAACAGGTTTTCTACAGGAAGCCTGCGATTAGCAGTTTTTTTTCACATGAAATAATAAACCAGTTTTCAACTTTTATATTTATTTTAATTTGTTGTAACATGATATTTAGTTTTGCACAATGTTTACATACCAGCATCTTAAAATTCGTCGATAAAATCACGTTTTAACAGCGATATATTTTGATTTTATTAGTCATGTATAGCCTACTACTCAACTGTGTGCTTGATGTATAAACAAGAATATCTATGGTAAAACTGTTGTGAAAACCAAAAGACAAAACAGTATGATTGCATTATTATTGAAACAATGTAGACTATAAGTTATGTTGGGTAAGTTTGTTTGTGTTTAAAAAATGCCAAATTTGTATAAACTGTATTTCAAATGTCTATCCTTCTAACATTTCGTTGCTGAATTTGGCTTACCTACTAAAGTTACAGATATTGTTGCAGCATAGCTTGTCATAATAAATTAATGGGAAAAACATGTTTGACATAAACCGTATCACCGTGCGTTCTCAACATAAGTTATCATTAGTGACATGACGGCCCGATTGCAGCGTTATTACTGGAAAGGGTAGAAAATGCACAATGCATTTTACTGACGGTATTTAGTCTTTTATGAACAACAGTTATGCTCGAACATAATTGTATAAAAAAAATGTACGACATAATTTTTGTGGCTGACTAACAATAAACTAGAGTTCAATTCTATAATTAAATACCCCCGCTACAGCAAACCTGCCGACTAAGCGAATTTACATTTGCCTGGGTTGATTTTCAATTAATCTATTAAATTAACATTTATGTTTAACGAGTACTTAGGTTAAACTTAGTTGTTACAGGGAAACTAATAAAGTGTGTTTTATTAAAATATCAATGGCTTAGTATGAAATAAATAAATCCGCCAAGTTTCATCAAAATATATCCATAGGTAAACAAGCCAGCTACAACATTTTACAATATTCTCCATAAGAATAACATGGGAATTTAAATTTTTTTTTTATTTTCTCCGTAACCAAGCACCGTACAAAAACACTTTGATATACTAAATTATTTGTTTTTTAAGCTCTTTAAAAATGTCTGGAGAAAAACTGATAAATTTTGTGTTTTAAGGGTAAAAAATTAGAAACCCACATTTTTACCCCATAAAATCCCGTCCCCGTGGTCCGATAATGCTGGTTCGCGAACTCATTCAAGTTTATCCCGCCTTACACCT